ATATAGATGCATGTACAGAGCATATCTGTACAAGCCTCATTCAGCAGAAAAACTGATGACATGCAGATTTTTATAGTTGAACTTTGAACTGAGCCTAGATTTACAAAAAAATACCTCACTTATGTAACATTAATATATGATCCTACCAATCAACGCATTTCTCGTAACATTAAATGAAAAAATTAGCATAAGGGATAAATGTTTTGCTATGGGCTTAGTAGTAAAACGGGATAGTAGTCATGAATAAAGTAATTAACATTTCTCAGCTTATCCCTAAGTAGACCACAGCTGCAGTTTGGATATCAACTAGCCTCACAACAGTCATTATAATTATAGTTAGTTATATTATATTAGAATATATTTCCAATATAATATCCAATTAAAAAAAATATAAAAATTGTTCATAACAAGATTGTTATTATTTGTTAGGTGGCTTTACATGGACCAGAGAGTAAGAATCAATTGCAGACCCACACTCTGCAAAGATCCTTAATAATTATTTACTGCATCAGCAAACACCAAATTTAATTCTTTTTTGTTTTCCATATTGAACTCTAGATGTACAGTACCCTTAAGGGATAAATTCCATGCTAGCTATCTATCAAAAAATTTTCAAACAGGTTTGGATGAAAGAGGAAATTATTTTCACTTGTTTTTAAGCTACATCAATCCAAGACATGCGGAAAAACATTATAGCCTAATTGCATACATCACACAAAAGGTTGATCACATTATGCCGCTTGGAACTTAATACAGTTTACTACACTGTAGATAGACGCTTATTGGACAGAAGGCAAAGCAAACAACAAAGAACTTGCAACAAAGAAACTAGAATCTTGGCCAGTCAATTTTATTATAAAGATTGTTTACAAAGCATTTGTGATTAGCCTACAAACACATAGCTGCAGATCAAATGTTCCTTTGTTGTCTAATACTAGTAGACAACGAGCTGTATTTAAACGGTTTTCATATTTCTTAATTTAGTTTCTTTAGTGGCTAAAGTACAATACATCAAATCCTGTTTAATGCATTATGCATACAGTACAATTTTAAATTTACAGTATATATATTTTGAAAATTATATTTTACTATTTCCATAATTTGTGTTTGGATTACCATAGAACATATACTATACAATTCAAATACTTTAATTTTAGTAATATGATAACGTTAACTTTATTAAATTTAACATTTAAGCATGAGATTGTATTACTTAAAATGAAAATTAATTTATTTAAGGTATATGTATTATACATGAATTACATTAATGCCAGTCAAAAATTAAGAAAATTTTTTTTGAAAGTCATAAATCAAAGTTCCTAAATAAAAAAAAAAGGTTCAAATACTTCACCGAGTACATGGTGCGGTTTGGTTTAATAATTTTGAATAATAAATTGAGATCTGAAATTATGTTTCTAGGTTACTCCGATTATAAAACCATTGAAAAGACATGCCCCAGTTAATGTTCCGTTGCTAAATATTATCACATACATCTATCAGTTCATCTACAAGGGAATATTTGCGCCTTAAGGCATATGCCAAATGTGTGAATAAAACCTGAAAATTGTGATCTAAAATTTAAATTTTGGCGCAAAAGATTTGGGAGGCAAAGTACAGTATGTATGTGCAAGCCCTTTCTGGTATTTGAAAATAAAGAATTATATAAAACATAACATGTATCTTCTTATCAAGTCTACTCACAAGTTCATACTCAAGGGATACATGTCGACTTCCAAAAACTGGACAATATGATTGTAGTGGTGAAACTGGGGCGGATGTAGGGGGAGCAGAGGGTGCAAACGCACCCCCCCTAAATTGTATTAAGAAAAATACTTATTGTATTATATTGTTGATATGAATTATTTGTAAGATTTTTAAGGTATGAGAGTGCAATTTCCAAGCATCCATATTCTCAAAATGTTTGCACCTCAGCCCCAACCATGTTAGGACTGAGGTAATGTGGATTCT